GCTCCTAGTTTGCTAAATCATTCATTCATTCATTCATTCAGTAATATGTTAAGTAGTTCTTTCATTCAACAAATGTTAAGTCCTGACATATACCAGTTAGCAAAACTGTTTGGCCTCTGCCCTCATGGAGCTTACAGTTTATCACCCTCAAACAAATGGGTGACTCCTCCCTTGGATCTTGGGCTGGTTAGATGCTAAGCAGAAAGAGAAAGGGTGGGAGACAGATGCTAGCAGGTTAACTACTGACCCAAAATTTCCACGTGAGTGAGCGTTTCTCTACCCAAGCTGGGTTTTGGCTTTGCTTTATTTTCACATTCCCCCGTGGGCTTCTTTTCTTCTTGTCCGTGGCTGTGTGTTGAAGAGCTTGACAGTACAAGAGATCATTCTCATGCATTTGCCTTCTGACTGCATGCTGGGAGTGCAGAGAACTCTGAGAGTCAGGAGTCCCAGAACTTAGAGCTGTGAGTGACTCTAGAGTGACTCTAGAGACCGTGTATAATGACCTTCTCTTGCTGGGAAATATCACCTCTTCCAAAACCCGGGTTGTTTCTGCAGATTCCTTTGGCTTTCTGTGATAGCCCCAGCCTTCATTTTCTTCTTTTTAAAAGCAGTTTTAATTTAGGTGTTCAGTTTTTAAAATAAATAACTGGTAATTATTTTAAAAATCAACCAGTTTCAGAAATATGTAACTTACATTGTGAACATCTTTTGCAATCCACTGAGATAACAATGGACATTTGCTTCTCCAGTTGTTTTCAATACATGCACTTGTGTGTACAATTATTAGTTTTTCAATAGAATGGACTTTTAAAATACATACTTTTTTGAAATTTACTGCTTCTGTCTAACTCCATTTTAGCTATTTTCCCATATTGGTACATACAAGGGGTCTTAAAAAATTCATGGAAAGATTCATATTCTCTTCTATTTTTCCACAAGCTTTTTGAAGTACCCTTGTATAAATCCACATCATTCTTTTTTTTGATCAGACTCCAATTTCTAATGGTGCCTTCCATTAGAAACCTTTTTGCCCCCTGACTTTGACTTTCTACGGATACATTCTGCTTTTAATGTGGCTGAATTAGTTGAAACATCCATTAGGCTTTTTCATTTTTCTT